GCGAGGTCCAGCCTCACCAGTGCCGAGTACAGGGCGACAATGGTAAAAACTAGGCAGCTGGTGAATGAAAACTCAGCAATTTCCTTTCTTCCTTTTGACAGGGAAAAGTGAAGTACCATGAACAAGTCACTGAAGGATTTGAGAACATGCCAACGGCTTTCATTGGAATGTTAAAGGGAGAAAATCTTGGAAAAGCCATTGTAAAAGTCTGAAGGTCACATATTCCCGGGAGACTGGGGGTTCCCAGCTTCCTCACACAGCTGCTTTTGTTTTTTTTTTTAAATTTTCATCAGGAAATGTAGCTATCTCAGTTATTCTGAGATTATGGGAAGAAAAAATAAATCTGTTAATGGATACTTTGCTTGTGTTATAGTTGTTTGTGGAATGCCCTCCGCTTTCCTTGCGGTTAACACAGAGTGGCTAAAATATTTCAAGCACTTATTTATCCCAGCAGATCTCACGGTTCGGGTGGCATGGATAGGTCACTTATTTCCTTGAGTAATTTGGCCATTGGCGTCCAAGCTTAGAGTTGACCTTGCCATGGTGTTCTCCCTGGCTCTCCTGGAAGATGACATCAATATGCTGGCCCTAGCTGTGTTCAAGTGGTCTCCAGGACCCACATGGTGCTGAGCAAAGGAGACACACAAATTAGCAACAATAAGTATCTTAGATGTATTCAGAAAGTGAAAACAAGAACCTGTTACCCACTATGGAATACAGCCAGGTATTGAAGGTGATCCATCTTCAACCACTGTGGAGGACTTCCTGGTTTATTTTTAGGTCTCATTATTTATCTGTGAAGAGGGATCCTAACTGGCCTTAATGTCTTTGCAGTGCCATGATTAGATGCTCTGTCTGTCAACAAGAAGAGATCACTTACGTAAGATGCAGATCAACTGATACTTGCTGAGTGAACAAAACCATGTCCTGAAATACAGGTTGACTGGCTACTGGGGAAATAATGCATCTTGGCACGAGTAGGGGAGAGGTTCTGGTTGCTTTATAGGGTTTTCTGAGGAAAAAGAATTGCCAGTTTGGGTTAGCTCCAGTGCTGTGGTTTTCAACTGGCCTCTAAGAAAAATCTGTGGATTAATACCGCTGCGCAACGTGGAAAATGGTAAACCAGAAAAGGGAGTTTCTTGTCAGTAGGCTTCAGATCCACTGTGTAGAGGTCTGCTGCTGTTTGGCAGTTTTTTGTTGAGAAATTTCCAGGGCTCGCCAAGTTCTAAAATACTGAATTGTTTTAAGTCCAGTGAATTCACAATCTCTGGTTTCAAGTAAAGTTGTGATTTGGGAATGAACCAAAAATAGCCACATGGAGTTCCTGTCCCTTGGTCAGAGCTGCAGAAAAATTTGTCAGTCAGAATAATTCTGGCTCAGCCTGCTTTCTCATAAAATACTGACCTGTACGTTCCCCTTGCTGTATGTGTGTAGATTTCATGCTTCATGAATTGCAGCCGATTTTGCAAGGCTGTTTTACCTCCAAACAAATTTTTTTTTTTTTTTTATAAGCAAACCCCCTCTGAACCTGCCCCACCTCTGAACTTCATTGGGGAACATAGCTATTTCCTCCTGAAAATCCAAGTTTTCTGTTACGCACTGGTAACACTGTCAGCACATGACTAACGACAACAATATCCGTTGTTGTCCAGCACTGTCTGGAGGTCTTGCAGTGGTTTCTCACTGTGAACTTGGTTGTCCTTGAAGTTCTAAATCTTACGGAGATACACCTGAATTTTTCCCCAATATGTTGATGAAAATAAAAAGGGAGTATTAAAAACACAATTTTTTTTTTTCTTGACAGTCACGGGAGTGAGAGTGTCAGTGCACAAGGTAGGCTGAAGGTCACAAAAACTCTATATTTCTCCGCTCTAGTGAAGCAAACTAACCCTACAAATACAATCGGTGTAACAAATTTGAACAAAGTGCCGATGCCCAGCGGAGGGCAAAGTCGCAGCTGTGTGTTGCTGGGCTAGGCCCTTTCTGCCAATAGATGACTACGTGTGCTTTTAACCAGAGCATTTGCAGTACCGTGGTGGTCCAGCCTGTCCTCCAGCCAGTCGCACAAGGCCTGTGAGCAGCAAACACTGGCTGCCGTCACCCTTTCTCTAACATTATCACTTTGCAGCTGAGCTTAAAGGCTTTCTGGGAAAGGGCAAGCTCTTCGCCATCCCACTGGCTGTCAGAAGGTGCACAAGGGATTGCCTGGGGTTAGGTCCTCCTTGGCACTGCAGCAGTCCTCCTCTGCATGCATCTGCAAAGGTGAAAAGGGTGTCAGCTCTGCCCAGCATTACCCACTCCTCAATGGCCCTGCAGCTGGGGTGCACCAACAGTCATCTCCTGTCTTTTTGTGCTGCTTTTCTCCAGTCCACGTGGCCATGTCTGTGCCCCTACCTAAGTTACACTTAGCAAGTAGGCTTGACAGTGGGATTTCTGAGGCCATTTAGGATCCCAATGCTTTGAGGATATAATATATGAGAGCAAGAGGAAGAGTTTATTTAATAATCTTAAATGTAAACAGCTGCAGGCTTCATCCTCTGTTGGCTAAATAGCTCTTCATTTATATATATATATCTCATTATTTCTGAAGTAGTGGTTTAACCGCTTAACGCCTTATGCTTACCTGTGCGAAGTGAAACAGTTTCTAGATTGGAGGTGTTCCAGTCTAATAAATACTGCAACTTTTGTGTCCTGTTCCTAAGCAAATTGAAGCTGGGGCTGGTGGCAATAACCTGCCTGAGCTCAGGACACAGTGGGGACCAGCCTTGAGGAGTTCACCATGGCCTGCTACACCAAGGGTGGCCTCAGGAAGCCCTGGGAATTGTTGCAAAGAGCTGTGGGTTGCTGAAACCAAGGAGCTATTCCCAGAGCGCATTGCTGCCTGCTGAGCTTCTCTCATGGTCCTCCAGGGTGGATGTCCACAGGAGGGCTCAGGACAACACGGCCCAGCTACAGCATCCATTCTCATGTGAGCCCTGTTCCCCAGCTGAACCAAATCCAACCTTAACCCCCCCAGCATCTCTGGTGCCGCCTGTACTGAAGCAAGCACAACATACCTCGGATCTTTTGCTCTTACGTTGCTCCCACGACCCCTGACTGTAGCTGTTCATCTCTCACACCCCCACCCAGCTAGACAGCATCAGCTCCAAACAGATCCCTCACAGTTTAGCTTGCTGCTGGCCATTACCTACAGCATGGGGAGATGCCTCCTGTCCCTGTCCTCAGCGCCTCGTTACTAGCTGAACATGGGCTCTGCTTTCTAGAAAGCTGAAAGCCTTTGCGGCCATCCTGCTAAGTGGTGCTAAAACTGACCACTGCATTTCCCTTACGAACAGGCTTCACAGTTCTGAGGGCTGCTCATGGTGCCAGCCCTTGCTCCTCCCCCAGGCTCCTCTCTCAGATGAACTAGAAACAGATGCAAAGAAAGGTGAAAAACCAGACTTGATTGCTTCCCTGAGGAAATGTTATGGATTGACTCAAATGGAGGGGAGGTGACCCAAACCTGGTCTAAAACTCTTCCTCTGTGGATGCAGTTGGACCCGACGCCTGGCTTCTCCACCTCCCTAGAGTCTGTTCACACCTCTGCCACATCCATGCCACCACAGATGCTCCAGTTCCTGGGGGCCAGGCAGATGGTGCCACCTGGATAGTAGGAACCCATACTCCTCTAGCCCATTACCTAGAGATACTACCATCACCCCAGTGCTGTCAGAGAGGGAAAAGCACAAGGCATTCCCAGAGCCAGTGTGTGTATAAATGTATGTATAAACATGGACAATCACTGCCACCTTGTGGAGACTTGTATCTGTCACAAATCTGTCTGCCAGGTGCAGGTAGAGATAGTGCTTCACACAGCTCCCGTGCATTCTTCACCTTCCCTACCTACCAACCTGGACTCTCTCAGTTTTCCCTCTCCAGAGGAGAAAAAATTACATTTCCTGTGGATGTGCTTCCCTAACATCTCCACAAGACTTTTGCAAGTTCCTCAAACTTATCTAGTTGACCCTTAGCAAATCTGGAGGCATCTGAGTGGGTATGCCTCTTACCTGCATGAAACCTCCATTGAAAATAAGGATGCCACAATATGGTTCAACCTCCGCTCAGCTAAAATGAGTACAGCGCCCACTGACTCCCCAGAGCTCCTTATCAGACTCTTCTTCCTGCCATAGTTTTGTGCTTGGTCTTCTGACTAAGGAAGACCTACAGATAAAGGTTTCAGCAGCTGGGGTAGAGTTGGTATACAGTTATTGCTTCAGATGAAGAGCAGAGACTCCATGCCACAGCCAGGCCCCTGGTGAGCCTGGTGCCCTCCCAGTCCTGCACTGCCTGTTGTCAGCATGTCAATGTATTAGGTTTACATGGAAAGGTTTTTGCAGTGGGGTCTTCTGACTAAGGAAGACCTACAGATAAAGGTTTCAGCAGCTGGGGTAGAGTTGGTATACAGTTATTGCTTCAGATGAAGAGCAGAGACTCCATGCCACAGCCAGGCCCCTGGTGAGCCTGGTGCCCTCCCAGTCCTGCACTGCCTGTTGTCAGCATGTCAATGTATTAGGTTTACATGGAAAGGTTTTTGCAGTGGGGTGGACATCAGACAGAGCCAGTGACAGCTGACTCCAAGAGAGACCTGCCATTGGCCAAAGCTGAGTCCTCTGTGATAACATATTTGAGAAAGGGTAAAAAGAAAAAAAAAAAACAGCAGCAGGGAGAGAGGAACAAGAGTATGCAAGAAAAAACACCCTGTAGACACCAAGGTCAGGGGAGAAGGAGTGGGTGGAGGTGCTGCAGGCACCAGAGGAGATACTCCCCTGCAGCCCATGGTGAAGACCATGGTGAGGCAGGTTGTTCCCCTGCAGCCCATGGAGATCCACAGTGAAGCAGATATCCACCTGCAGCCCATGGAGGACCCCATGCTGGAGCAGGTGGGTGTGCCCAAAGGAAGCTGCAGCCCATGGACAACCCACAGAGGAACTGGCTCCTGGCAGGACTCCTGGCTGGAGCAGGTTTGCTGGTAGGACCTGTAGCCCATGGGGGACCCACACTGGAACAGTCCATTCCCGAAGGACTGTATCGCATGGACCCCACACTGGAGCAGAGGAAGAGTGTGAGGACGAAGGAGCAGCAGAGACAATATATTACAGATTGACTGCAACCACCATCCCCCTGCACCACTCAGGGGTGGGGAGGTGGAAGAGTCAGGAGGGAAATTGAGCCTGGAAAGAAGGAAGAGGTAGGGGAAGGTGTTTATAGATTTGTTCTTCTTTCTTATTATCCTACTCTGTTTAATTGCCATAAATTAATTTCCCAAGGTCAAGTCTGTTTTTCCTGTAACCAATTGCTGAGTGATCTCCCTGTCCTTACCTCGAGCCACGAGCTCTTCTGTCATTTTCTCCCCCTGTCCTGCTGAGGAGGGGGAGTGATAAGAGCAGCTTGGTGGGCACCCAGCAGCCAGCCAAGGTCAACCCACCAGTCAGTCTCTCCCACCCCTCACCAAGGGTCAAGGACCAGCACTACAAGAGCTAGTCTAGCAAGGATTTCACCAGCATATTCCTCAAGCCAGTTCCTCGGGTGGCTGAAAGTTACATGTCAGAGTGCAGCACAGAGGAGTTGCTATGCCACAGTTTGTTGGTATTGGTAAAAGAATAGAAGTTGTTTTTTGTCCTTGCTAGATCCAGCTAGTTTTGATGAATTTAAACATCAGAGTAATTACAAGTACTCTTATTGGAATCATTCAGGGGAGAAATCCAAGTCTAACTTCATTCAGCTCAAGGAAAGAATGAAAAGCAGATGGTGAACTGGAGTTGAAGTTAGGCTGACTGCTGCAAGAGAAGATGTGGAAGAGATGTGCGGGTGGTTAAGAGAATCCTTCCCAAGGTGCATGACAGCAGTTTCAGAACACACAGATGGAGTTAAGGAGTGTCACTATTTCACTGCAATCTAATCATGCACAGTTCCCTTGTCCACTCACTGTAACCCCTTGGCCCTCCCTTTCATGATAGTTAGTCCTCTCTCATTAAGCCATTAAGTTATTCCAGCCATGTGTTCCAATTGCTGTGCTCAAGGAAGTAATTCTCTTCCTGTCGGCCAGCCCACTGTAAGAAAGCAAGCTATGTAACAGGCCTGCAGACAAAAACATCTTGCTCTACTGGTTTGACAGCAAGGCACAGATCCCAGCCATTTCATAGCCAAATGAAATAGACTGCAGTCATTACCTGAGGGAAGGAGAACTTCTTGCTGAAGCCCTTACTCCCAGAAGAAACCTTGCTATGTCGTTTCTTCTCTGCCATGTACATCAAGCTTCTTCCAAACATTCGAGTCAGTTGGCCACCTACCACATCCCTCTTAAAGGCATCTTTTCAGATCACTGGATCAAAGCAGTCAGTTCTGTTCACACAAACCACAGATCACGAGTTCAATCAAAGAGTTGACTCTGCTCCACTGCTGTCTGGCATATGGTTAATACTGGTCTCTCTCATTCACATGAAAAACAAGCAACAAATGCACCTACTGAGCTCTCCAGGGTATTACTTAATACCCACATGGCACGGCATACTGCCCAAGTTTTTAGCAAGGCTACTTGTACCCATTCCATTTACGTTTATTTGCTAAATCTAGGCTTTGTTAAAGGCTGAAACCCCACGTTCTTGCCTGTTGGAAGACTCAGTCCAGTCCCAGTCCTGAACTGGGGTGCTCTCCTCCCAGTAGGAACATTGCTGTAGGAACTGAGACTCCTTACATCTCAGCTAGGCATAACCATTAGGCTTTGCTGTCCATCACCTGTAACAACAAGGACCAACTTCAAACACTCAAATTCTGGCATAACTATGCATTTGAAGAGAATATGCTTGCTGGTTCCTTTAAAGGGGAAGTTCACCTAACACACAGATCCTCACTGTATAGTCCTCAAAGAGCCAAGCCTTAAAGAACACCTCCTTTCAAATAAGGCTATGCAAGTTATTTTTATCACACCATGCGTATGTGCCAGGTCTCAAAACAAGAAGACAACTGCAGCACAGAAGCTGAAGACTCACTGCACTTGTAAGAACTGCTGTGCACCACCAGTTTCAGCACATGAGCTATTCCAGCCTTTCTAATCTTTCCCAATCCTGTCTTGAATTTCCAGTTACTTTTCTGTCACCTGGATCTTTGCAGAATGGCATCTAAGGGAGTAAACAAAGCATTAAGTCAAACTCAACACACAGCAGCATTTCCCCTTAACTGCACCTTTCCCCTGCTGCAATAGGTAACAGCCTGGTCTGGCCTCACCTCAGCAGAAATACCGTATGTTGCAGCGCATCTTAGTAGCTTCCTTATATCTTAACGATGAAGCTGGATTTTAGGGGCTCCTGCTGAGGATTTTTAAAACCTTTCTTGCTCCCAGCTACTGCCCAGAGGGAATAAGCAGGCCACACAGGAACTGCTTTTAAAAGCAATGCTTGTTTGTAGACGGTGTGATGTTACTAGTGCATTCTTGCTCCAGCTTCATTTTACTCTCTCCCCACGAGTCTGTCCATGGCACCACTTGGGGTAGTGGCTTCCCACTTACCTGCGTGAACAGTCTTTTAAACACACTTAGTCAAATAGCCAGACCTGCAGAGAAAACATTTTGCATGTCCTTCTCATTGCATAATCACAACCCAGAGCTTACATCCAAGAAGATCCTTGATGGCTCATCCTCAACTAAAGGGTGTGGTCACTTCTTGGACTAGAAAAGTCTTGTTTCAGATAGGGAACATATGCAGCAAGCTGCTGAAGGCTCCCAGTCCTCAAGAGTCAGGAAATTCATGCATGCTTGTGAAATGAGTGTAAGGCTGAGTCACACATGAGCTCCCTACCACAAAGCCAAGCGGCTCACTCATTCCACATTGTCTGCATATGTAGCAGGAAGTCTTGCTTTTTCATCAGTGATACTCAATGAGCAGCACAGCTCACCTAGCCCTAACCACAGCATTAGGCATAGCTGCTAGCTACAGCCCTGCTTCCTTATTTACTGAATTCTTAACCAGGACAACACCCAAGCCAGCAAGAAAGCCATTTTGATATGGTGGAAAAACACAGCAGTTCCCCTTGGTAATTCTGGGAAGAGCAGTTGAATGGTATACAGAGGCTGGCAGGTCAGCATTCATCCAGACAACCCGATGCAGGTTTGGAGGACTGCAGAGTCCAGTTTACTGTCCAGTACAAAGAAGTGTCCAGTGTGTTCTAAGAATGCAAGAGTGTAGTCAAATGAAAATGGCAAGAATACATAAATCTAAATTATCTTGGGCTTAAGACACTACGAATTTTACCTCTTCAGTCATTTGCTCCACACTATTGCCTAGAAACAAACCAGCCCAACTGAGAGACTAAACATACTTTGCTAGTAATAGAACCAGAAGATACACCAATGGCAAGACAAAACTGGGAAGGCAAAAAGGCAGCAGCTCCAAGTCCTACCTTACACTTCCATGGCAGGACTGGTATTATGTTCTGGTAATTGGTATTATGTTCTGATAAGCCAAGTCTTAGCTTTGAAGTCTAAAATGAAACTTGACAAGTTTTAAAAGAATCTTTAGCTAAAAAGAGGTAACGAAAGAAAGAATGTATCCCACCCAGTGATCACCCTCTTTTCTACAACTCCCTTGCTGTACCTGCAAGCCAGACTGCCACTCTTCAGATTATAGCCTTCAGCAGACTTCTCCTAAAGCAACTGCCATTGCTATCCCATGCAACACAATTTTCCACCCCAGCAACAGGTTGCATGTGACAAGAGTCTTTGTATCCAGACAGTACTCCTTTAACACAGCAAAAACTGACACCTTGATGACATTACAAAATTCCTCCCATTTTCATTCAAACAGAGGGCAACATCCAAAAGTGAAGAATTTACACTTTATTGTACTCATTTACATAGATCAAGAGGATAGTTTCCACCACTTAACCTAGCTAGCTTGTTTAGATTTTTTTAAGTAGAAAAGTTACAGGCTATAATTTAGCCGAAGCAGTCATGCTTCAATGTCTCCATGGCTGGAGATTAGACTAGACTTTTAATGGTCTCTTCCAGCTTCTCTTTATTGGCCCCAGAGAACTCCTGCACCTGTAAAGAGAGATTGATTTTTAGAACCATTGCATTCAATGCTTCATAACATTAGTTGCATAGCATCCAGACACATGTACAACTATACAACTCTGCTATGACTACAATTTTTTCATCCCCAAAACAGGGAGTATTTTGCAGATATTCATCTATTCATCTCCCACTCAACTCATGCAAAAATTGGGACAAGAGTCTATCAAGAATCACTTCCAGACTACCACTGCTGGAGCCTTCTACAGGTAAAACAAGAGAAAAGACAACCGATCCTGAACCAATGCTATGTAAAAGACTCAAATACAGGCTTGAAGAGACTCTGGAGGTCACCGCACAGCAGAGGTAGCTCAAAGTCACCTTGGGTTGCTCTGGACCCTTACCAATCAAATTCTGGAAGAATTGCTCCAAATGACCTGTCCCTGAGCCTGGCTTCTCCTGTGAGAATTGTCCTTGCTGCAACTTACACAGCAGAAAGACAAAGGCAACATTCATGTCTCAAAAACAGCGGTTCCAACTTCGTACAGGGGTGCAAGCTACAGAGCAGACTACACTACAGGCCATGAAATTGCTTGCTTGATATTCATGTGTCCAGAGAACTGCCAGGGTCACCCAAAATAAAAAGGCACACAACAGGGTTAAGCATATCACCTTCACACACTGCCACATCATAATCTCAACTCTTCCAATTCCACTATGAAGGTGTGGAAGTTTACCATGAGAAAACTGTCAAAGGTTCATTATTAGTCATGATTTGGCCCCATACTGAATTGAACTGAAGGTCACCCACCATCTAACACTCACTTTTCAAGGCGCAATTCCATTGCCTGCAGCCATGAAACTTCCATCCAGGCATTGTTTTACTTTAGAAAAGCCTACCTTTGGCTCACTTGGCAAACTAAAAGCCTGAGATAACACATTGAGCTCAGCAATTCTTTAGTTGAGGTGGAGAGCCATTCACAACTACCCTGCACAGGCAGTCCACTTCTGCATCCCATCTCATCCACCTCTTGGCAGAGCAGGCACAAGAGGTCTGTTCAGTCCTCTGACAGGGACAGGACCTCCACTTCACAGGTTACTCAGCCTCTGTGTAAAAGCATCCAAGCAGTTGTTTTAGCTGTGTGTATATTCAACCATGTTAGAGACTTCTGTTTGGGATTTCATAGGCACATATAGTCATGTCTCTGTCTGAACATGAGTCACATCCAGAGAACAAATACTAACCAAGATCAGTAAAAAGCAGGGTGCTAGGCAGACAGACTAGCAGTCTTAACCCAGACATCTAACCCCACTAATCTCTCATGAAGCTCTGCCTGTAAGACTGACCTGTAACACTGAGTTCACTATCTGTGAACACTAGGGTTTGCTCCATCAGTTAACTGCTGGTCCATGTTACATTTGCTGCGACACTAAGATCAACTTGCTTGCTCTCAGGAGTGTCTTAATGCCAGTGGTGCCTCAGATACATCAAGAGAAAGCAGGCTATGTAGTCTAACATTCCCAATCTTCTTTCAAGTGTTTAGCTTGCCTGCTGCAGTTCCAAAAGAGCAGAGCCTACCTTCTTTCCGTTCTTGTAGAACTGGAACGTTGGCATGCACTTCACATCGCAGTGCGTAGCAACGTCCTGGAAGAGACAGAAAACAATCTTCAGCTATGCATGTCCAAAGGATGTTATATATAGAACCCACTACCTGCCTTTTGTTTAGGTGATAGGGCGAAGCCATTACTGCTCAAAATGAAGCAAAAGCACTTCTGGTAGTCCATCACTGGCAAAACAGTGCAGTGTTTTTGCATCTCCCTGAAGTAAGCCTGAAAGATTCTCCCTTCAGCATTTAGTTCATGCAATAGCAAGAACACATTTACTATACTTGTACTCTGTGTTTGGGAAAAAACCAAACCTCTGCATCAAAACAGAGATGACTATTTGTAAGGCTCAAGAGCTCCTCGGCAAGTCTTGTGTTTCAACCTGACACTGTTCAAATACCTATTCAATATTGCTGGAACTGCTATACAGCAGACATTTTATTGCACTTAATTCAGAACATGAAAGAGGAAACAGTGCAAGAGTAGTGGAGAGACAGATAGATCACCAGAAAGTTGTGACCATTAGTTTTAGGGAAGATTGCATCAGAGCAGCTTGAGGCCCTAGGCTAACACTCCCTCCTAAAGCGGAGGGTCAGTATTCCCAAGTTATCTAACACATGCCATAGGGCTTCAAGTGTGCAGATAACCAAACAGTCTGTTCTGTTCAGGTGTCCTCTAAAAAAATAATTCTTTCCAGTATAAGTGCTAAACCTCTACCTCTGCTTCTCAAAGTTGAAGTAATTTCTCGTTTTGTTTCAGTATCTGCAAGGACATTTTAGAAAGAGTTCTTCATTGCCACTTGTATGGAACTCATTAGCTGCCCTCTTAGCATTACCCTGGACCATACCTGGGCATCATCCACATCAATTTCGATGAACACCACATCACCATACTTCTCACACAAACTCTAGAATGAAATAAGATAATAATGCAGTTACAGTATTCCAGGAAAGCTTTCTTTTAAGACATATTCATATAAATTGTAAGGCTAGTGCTGCTTACCCCCCAGTGAAACTTGCCTTGTTATCTTAAACCAGCTATTTTACTGACCAGAGCAAAAATTTTATTTTCTGCTCCAATACCTGGAAGAGTCTGTTGAAACTTGTTCAAACATAGTCCCCACAGAGAAGACCCAAATATCTCAAGATATAGATGACAGGACTTCTCTTACAGCCTTCAGCTGATCACCAAACGATATTACAGCTTATCTCATACTTTAACAGGAGATAACACTGTCACCTAAACACAGCTAGAATGATTACAGTAAGTGTGTACAGAAGGATAAGTATTGTTTCCACTATATTCCACCTCTTGAGGCAATGCAATTGTTAGGTCCCTATAGACCCAAGATGCATGTAAGCATTAGGGCAGCAGAAGTTAAACCACATTTGAGCTCCCAGCTATATCAAAGGTCAGTACATTTAACTCAATAGTCTCAAAGTAGATACTTCTGCCACTTCTCCCTTTTCCAGAAAATGCTGGCAATCACATGTGGCAAAAGAAGTTTCCTCCATGTTATCATCAAACAGCACGAAAACATTTGTATATACTTTAATACAGTTGCCAATAAAAACAGAAAAGCTACTTACATGGAAAAAGGGCTTGATCATTTTGCATGGTCCACACCACGTGGCAGAGAAATCAACTACTATAAGCTTCTCACCAGCAGATTTCAGTTCTGCCTCAAATTCGGACTACAAAAAAAGAATTGAACACATTAATGATTTTCCCCCTCCTTCCCAAAACAATTTAGACTAATCCCAAAGCTAGCTTGCTTTCAGCCTTAACACACTAACGATTTTGGTAGTTCTTTAATCACTTCACATAACTGGGGTTATACCCATGTAATACCATCATGTAAGTGCTTCAGTATGAATTGCTTTCATCAGTGCTAGCATCAGCCAGTGTCATACAACTCTTCAATTAGAAAAGAACACAATGCTCAGTCACCCCAACTCATTGAATTGTGGAAACAGAAGCTAGAAATTAATCTAGCCTCCCATCCTCAACTCTGGCAGCTCTATTTAGCATTACCCCCCTGAATGGGATCCTTACAGTTATTAATAATCCATTTTCTCATTTCTGTCTTGCCAGAAAGACTTCCATTTTCTTCTGGGACAGACTTTCCTCTGCAGAATTTGAAAAGGACAAACCTTTGTACGCTCCTCCAGTTTGATGCCTTTTCCAACCAATGGCTTACATCAAAATGATGTTGTGTTGTTTACTCTACAGCATGTTTTCTAAAGCAACCTCATAGGATAGTTATTTTACTTATTTTGCCAAGTGAACCAACATCTAACATCACTAGCCAAAGCAATGCTACACATACAGACTACACAAGTAACACCCAATACTTGTTTGGAGCTTCGAGTCTGTTTGCTGCCCTTAGCCATATCAATCATTTAGGGACAATGTTCTTTGGAATTTAGAGCTCCTTCATGCCATTAACCATGTTTTCTGGTCAAAAAGTGTATGTTTTAGCAGAACTGAAAGACGCTAAAAGCAATAAATGCTTGCATGTAGCAAGAGGCAAACAAGTATCTCAGGCAGAAGCAGAAAATGCTAATCAGCTACTTCTTGACAGTTTTTTCCAAATCAAGTACAAGCTGCTTGAACATTCCTAAACTTCACTATCACAGCAATGCAAGCTTCAGGAAAGCTGTTAATATAAACTTCATTTCAGATTATGCATATAAAAGATAGCTGCTTTACTCTCCCCAACTTAACAGACCAGAGCATTAGAGTTCTGTCAGCAACGGCTAACTGAAAGCAATATGGTTACTGCCACATTTACACAGTGGTTGGTTTTCCAGTGCAGGAGTTAACTAATGCCAGATTCTGCAATCAGCCACAGTAAGTTGAGACTTTATTCTAATACGCTGTTCCCCCACATTAAAGAATGCCATGCAGGTGAGCGGTCAAGAGTGCACACAGTCAACTGGTCACAAGTGTATTTAACAAGCAGAGGGTCCTGCACCAGCATTCTTATGTATGAACCTATGTGAAAGTCTTCATAACTTCAAATACACCCAGCATTACATCTCCATGTTGATAAGACATTTTCCCTCCCAACATAGCTATCTTCAGAAGTGCAACTCCGAGTGCTGAGTTCTTCCATCCTTACATCTTGGATATTCAGAGAGTCTACTCTGCTGTAAGATCAGCAGCTAACACTCCACACCACCTACTCTCAGCCTGAAAGAGATGGGAACAGTAAGTTTTCCCATCTCTCCACATTCCCCCACTCCTGTACTGACTTAGTATGCATTCCTACCATTCCCACCAACAAAGTTCAGTGTCCCTGTACACAGCAACCCATGCTAGGTGCTCCCTGCAACTATTTATACCACAAGCTCCTCAGTCAAGCCTCAATCCTCCCCACCTTCAAATACTACAGCTTGGTTTTCAGTATAGCTTCTCACACCTCTGCATTGTAACATCACCAGCTCTTTACCGATTCCACTTCCTGCACCTGCCAGTTAAGACCATCCTCTTCTTACCCTTAAGTCTTCTGTCCAGCTGCATAATTACTGTATTCTGCAAAAGGAAGTCCAGCCCTGGGATGCATTTGTCATACAGCCACACATCAGGTTTGCTATTGCACAGAACAAGGGGAAAGTGGGAGGGCATGATACCTACAGTTGGTCACACACCATACACCACTGGAGACCTGGTCATGACTACAATCAGGTGTTGCCCTATGAGTGATCTCTAGGATCAGCTAAAATTGTTATGGGAGAGTGAAAAGAGATGCAGGGTCCAAAGGTGCTTACACTTGCAAGTTAAAAAATATTGAACTAGAGAGAAGTCCTGAAAGTTTTCCCAGAGAGCTTAATTTCCCTGGAGGAAGGAAGACAGTAGCACGGGAAAAACAAGCTACTCAACCTGTCCGATTGACTTCCATAGTTGTCTTTTGTATTAACTGTGAAGTGACAAGCCTTCATATACAAAGCAAATCATCTTTGTTAACAGAAGGGGAACCTTCCACCACAAGACCATTTAGTCACACTATTAGAGGATTTTATAACTTTGTTAACCAATATTTTCTTCAGGTAGCACCCTACTGGGGGAAACCTCTGACCAGTTGGTTGGTTTGCATTTGTTTTCTTTTTTTTAACATTTAACTACAACCTCCCCGAGCACAGGCAAGACCTCATTTTGCTTGTATTGTCCTCCAGCAGAAAAATGCATTCAACAAATACATTGGTAGCAGACCTCTGTTTTCAAGGGCCAAGTAAGAGAAGGCTCTAGTAATGAAAGCCTCTAGTGCAGCAGGGATTCTCAGCATCAGGTAATACCTCAAAATGGAGGCTACTGACCACAGACACAGCTGAAAGGAGGCTACTGCTCTCAGCAATAGATAAGATAGCTTTAATCAAATCTGCCAGATGGTGTGGACCTTAGTTGTAAACATGATTTCCAACACATATCAAGCCACCCTTGAACTTGGATTAACCCAGTCATCAGCTGACTGTCAATGGTTATTACATAATTTAGTGGTGTGGTTTTTTTAATACAGAAGCTAGCCTAAACAGACTAAAGGTTCAACTGCTTGAACTCCCTAGCAGACACCACTTCTAAAACTATCATCTGCATCTGAAGCTGCAAGTTTTCAGTATTTGCTTTGACTCAAATAATAGAGAGGCAGCTAGTGTGAAGAGGAAAGCTTTGGCAACACCAGCTTTTTAACTGTTTATATACCCCATTAGCTTCTGCTATAAAAGGCATTATGTCCTATAGTCAAACGCTGTTACAAATTACATGTCACCCATCTCAAGACCACATACTTAAACCAGCTGAAGTACTGCTCCTCCTGTCCACTAGCAGAGACTTGAGAGAGACCAGTAAAGCACCCTGAAAGTAGCCATTCTTCAGAAGTTAGTCAGTTTCTGAAGACATGTGTTAGGAAATGGGCCACATTTAGCTAGCTGTCATGTTCACATTGCTTTACATATGTCACTCACAGAAGCTTTTGCAGGTAGTGAAAGAAGGGGTCTTCCTCTTTGTATCAGAGAATACAAATCTGCTTTACTGAAAAACAGAGTTAATCCAGAAATCCCAGCTGCACTGTACTCGAATACTCTGGATGTTGCTGATGTTAAACTCTTGTTGTCAGCATGACTGTTGAATCCATGCTCTCCATGGATGAACAACAAAACTGTGCTTTAACTACAACAGTGTTCACTGTTGGGAGGATAGTGGAAGCCTAGACCACTTTAAGTTAGAGCAGGCTCTTCCTCCAAAGCCAGGTTTATTGACTTTCCATTGTTAAGCTGCTCCAGCCAGTATCAAAACCCTCAAACCATACTCAAAACACTTGCCCCGTCTGTCCTTCCATAAACAGAGAAAGGGGAAGGGGAGAGATGCAAACCAGAACAAGAATTTCAGGTTGAACTCACACACTGTTCCAACTCCAGGCCTGAATGATAAGGCATTTTGTTCATCTTAACTTTAAGGTGCTTTCTGCATTCATAGGTATTTTAGCTGTGGTCACAAGAATTAGTATGCTCATATGTCAGATGTTAACACCTTAGCAGTCCAACAGGGGAAGTCTGTCACGTTTTTCACTTACACAGTGAACTGACTATAGAAGAGCACAGCCTACAAGACAAACTTGGATGCCATACAGCATCACTCCCAAGCCCCTCACAACCAGATCAAACTGACACTTCAACCAAATTTCAAGTTCAAAATGCAAGACTAGCCCAACAAGATTTTTCCTGAAATTAAGAGCTCGCTAAGCTTACACAGAGAATATTTTTTGAGATTTGGGTTCATAAGTTACAGCTAACAAATACTCTATTGTTGTCTATCAACCACATCAGCTGCTGTGCACAAGACCACACACTATTTCATCACCAGCAGAGTATTTTCCATATATTGGTCTAGGCTTTATTACTATACTGTATCCCAAAGCCACAGACGTGTTTGTATTCATAGAACCATCCAAACAAGGAGGTGCTGCATTAGTGTACTGAACAGGTCAGACAGCACCATAACAAGGGAAATAGTTCTTATGCCAGCAATTCCAGTTATTTAAGTACAGGAATGGGCACTAGTAATTCCTTTCAAGTCAACAAAACTGGATTCATGTTTTCCATGAACTCCTACCCAGAAACACACCAGAAGTTGGGCCAATCTCTACTAAGAAAGCCGCCCGGTCCCCTACACACTGGCAGTAAGTAAGGCAAGCCGGGACTTCTAAATTAGGGTACCGTAGTATTCTGTTATCAGCTTGAGAAGTGAAACATGACATTTCCTTAAGATTTTAAAGGCAGATGAGCAACAATCTGTCACAATATGAAATTACATCATCTCCCTTTTCATTCTGACTATCTGAAGCCTCAGGTCATACAGTTATTTGTTCCCTCCCCTTGGTCTAAGCGAGTCCTGCCTTCAGCTTCCCCCTT